AAACAAAATCCCCCCTTGAAATTTTTCTAAAATGTCCTATAAATATTTTATGAGAGTTCGAGTGTGTCGTAGCTGGCCATAATTGAATCAAATAAAGTAATTAAATTTGTTACTGCCTTCCATTAAACATTTAACGAGATGTTGGAAGAAACAAGCGGCTGAACGTCACATTAAAATTTAAGACTTTTAAATGTCGAAAAACTGTCGATGATACATCATTTCTGGCAGCCTCATCATGTCAGCATGGCCGGCCAGGGGTCGTCCGTCGACCATTTCAAATGTGTTTTAATAAAAATTAATTACAAAGAAAATGCTGTAGTCATTATGATGAGGGGGGGATGATGAGCTTTTTCCGAACACTTGGAAATGACGATTGTAACTCGAGACATTTAATTAACAATAATAAATACATTACCATGCCAACATTTCGGATCAATAGAGACCGATTATTAATGCATGCCGTTTTCTGCAAAATACTTTTCCGATTCAAAGAACTAATCATGTTCCTCCATTCACTGAAAATGTCGCCTGTGGCAACTGTACTTGGACATGGACAACACCTAATGGTGTCCCGGCAACCAGAGTATGGTGTCAAATGCAAGCACTGAATTGAATTGCAAACAAAAACAAGAACAACATAACTAATGTTATTATAAAAAAATGCATTTGTTGTTGGGGGTTAGGGGTATCGACTCTGCTATGTCATAGTTGCCTCGTCACCCCAGTCCGTTGGCCAGCCTGATTTGGTCATTAAACTGTTAGGAAACACCATCAAACTTGGCCGTTTTGGTTTTAACTAATTTCCAACCCCTGGCAAATATTTGTTCAGCAGAGGGCAGCATTGTTAACCACACGTACGCACGAATACATCCTTTTTCGACTGACTGAATGAATATGTCCTGCCATCACGTCGCATGGTCGACGTGCAGTCGATCAATCTTTCACCTGGTCGCTTTCATTCACATATGTGGTAGGTAGGTAGATGGCTAGGCATGTGTAGATGTGTGTGACCAAATGCACAAATGTTTGTTTGATTGTTTTTAAAGTGACCCAACGCCTCCTCCTTCGTGTGTCCTGGCTTACCACCTTGCCATATGTTGTTACCACCTTTACGCTTTTCATACAATTGTTTCGTGTTTTTTTTCGATGTTTTTTTTACTATTTTAAAAAGACTGTCTAAGCGGACACCAACTACTACACGTTGCGAGAGTTCGTCAGTTGGTCTGGGAGCAGGAAATAGTGTCATGACTTACGACAAAGCCATTTTGTGTATCATGTGTGAGTAGTGCATGTCAGCCAGATGTGTAGGTGGTTGGTTGGCTGGTTGATGGGTGGTTGGGTTCCCACTATGTATGTACTATCTATGTTCGCCATAGAACACGTCCGTCCTCAATAATTAAGTGAGGGCAATGGTCTTAAAAAAAGTTCCTGCCCACATTTGCACAACCCTCCTCACTATGCTTTTCGTTTTATTTTTTTTTCGCTTTTTCCACTCATCAGATTCACATGGGGGTCTGGGTTTGTGTGCCTTGAGATCGTTAAGACCAAAACAAGTTTAAAGCGAGTGCATTAAATGCCATTTTATGACTCATTAGACTTTGCACTTTTTTTGTTCAGCTTAGCCTGACGACTTCATTCTGCGAATAGAAAAAAGTTCTTCTTTTGCGGTAATTTTATTGGAGCTGTTAAACGCAGTAATTGAGACGTTAAGGTAAGCTGGAGGAATTGTTGAAGTGAATGTGCAACGCTGACATCAGCGCGGATGGAAAAAGAAAAAGATTTGTTTCATGACGTGAACGTGTATGTGTGCATGTGTATATCATAAGAAAGATGGTTTTGAAAGAAAAAGCATTTTGTACTACAAATTTGTTATGAGATACAAATAAGCCATAACATGTCTCGACTAGGAACAAATTGGGTTTTATCAGCCATATGGATAGAGAGGGTATATACATATCATTTGATACGGCCAAAACGTGCCTCATTGAAATAGCGGTATTAGACACTAGGTCCCTTTGGACCAAATCCATTTCAGGATATTTTTGGAGTCTATCTATCGATGTCCGCCCGTCCGTCTGTCTGGCTTGTGCGCACGATAACTCTCGAAGGGAGTATCCGATTTAATGCAAACTTGGTACATCGTAAGATTATTATCAACCTTAGATTGAGATCGGTTATTGGCAATATCGGTCCACTCCTTCTGCTACCTCCCCCACAAAAGGTTAACATTTTCAAAAAAAAATATTTCACTACACAGGAAGCAAACACACAAAACAATATTTTTTATTAACCCAGGACTGTTGTGAAGATGGAACATATCGGTCCACTCCTTCTGATACCTCCTCCACGAAGGGTCAAAATTTTGAATATTCATGAAGCTCATAAAACACGAAATTAACATCCGAATTGGCACATCTAAATATTTCCACCAATACAAGATCTGTTATAAAGATGGTAGAGATCGGGCGATTCCTTCTGGTATCTCCCCCAAGAAGGGTCAAAATTTTGAATTAGCAAAACGATCGTAATATCCGAAATAAGCACCCGGTTCTTTTCAAATAACACACATCACAATGTTTTTATTAACCCAAGGTCTGGTGTGAAGGTAGAATATATCTGTCCACTCCTTCTGGTACCTCTCCCACAAAGGATCAACATTTTGAATAACGAATGAAATAAATCTCCGATTTCAACACAATTATAAAGATGGTAGAAATCGGGCCATTTCTTCTGGTACCTCCCCCATATAGAGTTTAAGATTTTTGAAAAACGAAACGCTCAAAAAAATCGAAATAATAATCCGACACTCTTCAAATTTCACACATCTAAATATTTTTGTTAACGCAAGATCTGTCTTGAAGCTGATATATATCTGTCAATTCCTTCTGGCACCTCACCCACAAAGGGTCACAATTTCCCAAACTCATATCTGTCATAAGTTGCGAAACAATTCGAAACTTAACCAGAAATCTGATATGAATATGTACTTTCTCGGAATTTATGATTTCGCATAAAATTGGATATAAAGGTTCGATTTCCTTCAAATTTTGCACATATCAATATTTTTATCTGTGTTAGATGAAGTATGAAAATAGAAAACCCTCGGTCCGCTATATCTGGTACCTCTCGCATATTTCGACTTTTTCCAAAAATAAAGTATAGGAATTAGTCGATATAGTCCAAATGTGGTACTATGTAATATTTATATCAGTTTTAGGCCAGATACGAATTGGTCGATATTGGCTTCGGAGCCTCTCCCATAAGGGGAATAATAACAACTTAAGGCTGGGGGGTATACATTTGTCGGCAAAACCGGCTGTTATTATTTTACTTGTTTTATTAAAGTTTTTGTATCGGATGTGTGGTAATCCTAAAGAATATAGTTTTTTCCTCAATGAAAAATATAATTTTTTGAATAAAAACGCAACGATTTTCAAGGAACCTCTCACTGCTTAATGAGTTTCCCCCGTTTAATATTCCTCAAAATAATGTTGCACAGTGAGTGTCATTCCATTCCAAAATAATATATCGAGCTTTAAAACACTCACTCCTCTATGTGTTACATCAAGTCCTTTTATCCTAAAACATGATCCAAACAAATGCACCTGTATCCTTTGCATTTGTGTCTGGCAGAAAGGGGATTATGAATATTTATTACCCAAAATATTTCACATAAAAACTTAATTATTCTTTTGCTACACATACAACATGGGACCGGAAGAGTACCTGAAAGAGGTTTTACATGGTGGTGGTGTAATTTCAAAGGACACTTGGAATTGTTGTTTAAACTCGAAATGCTGTTGGGAAATGTGTTTGAGGTTAATAATTATGTATTTTTAATAACCCACAATGCAGAATGGAGACACTCATGTACACGCACACACATTTAATAGAAATGTATAGACGAAGGCTGCTGGCTAATGACATTTGTGTGTGTGTGTCTGCGTGAGTTGGGTGACTCGTGCCACTGTTGTCTGTTTCGCTATTGTGCGGTCTTCTTGAAAAGGATACTTGAGTTATTCGTTCAAACATTCATATGCCAAAATCAGCTATTAACTGTCAAACACAAATCGAATTAAAAATGACGTTTGGCAGCATAAAACGGGGTGTAGGGGTGACTACCATTCCCGAGCCATGGTTGGGTTGGGTATGTATGTGTGTGTTTAAAACAGTATTTATGTGTTACAACATTACATTGACGTCCGTTTTGTGTAATGTTTAACATTTTTTGTTTTTCAATATTAACCACAAACTCACTATTCTAGCAAAAAGGAATAACAACAACTATGACTAGAGCAATAGCAACGCCAACAACATTAACAAGAACAACAACGCTATATATGCAAACAACCCTTGCTAAGGTCTCTAAGATACAACACAACAAAACAAAACAACGTAATGAAACGAATTCGTTGATAACACAAGCCAAACCTTTCAAAAATAAAACGAAACGAAACAAAAAAAAAAAAAATATTGAATTGAATTGAATTGAAAGGATAACCGAAATGATAAATCAACTAAAATATTTACTTTGAAAGGGATATGGAGTAATTTATACGAACAACTTCTGATAATGCACGCTAATGCATTTCCAAATCGCCGACTTGTCCGCCAAGACACGGCCGGACGGACATTGGCGACCAGGATGAGAATAAAAAATAAAAATGCATTTATTTGATTATCTGATCAATTTTCCTTAAGAAAATGTAAACCAAAAAGCAATGGAAAAAAGATACAAACGTCAACATAAAGGGAACGAAACAAGAACAAAGGACAAAAAACAAACTAAGGCAACTTGCCGCATTATTTACATAGCGAGCACTCGCCCTGGATAGGTAGGTGGTAGATAGGTACTATGGTGGTTAGGAACATTAACTAGGCTTTTAGGTTTGTCTGTTTTTTTCTGATATGTATTTAAGGTTGGTTGGTTGGTTGTTGGTTTTATAGATAATTTGGTTGGTTGGTTTTTATTGTTTGTTTTGTTGTTGAGGATATCTTACCCTAACAGGCATTAGTTTCCTTAGCGATGCAGTCTGGAAGTAGAAAAGGCCATAAAACACGATTTTTAAACAGCCAAAAAATCTTGGGTTTGTTGTTTTTGTTATCAAGGCCAAAACATAAAAACCATTTTTTGTTTTTCTCTTTAATGGAACGAAGGAGGAATGAAACCAAACAAAGAAGAAGAACGAGAAGAATGGCTTGGGTGTGGATTTTTTTCTTGTAATGCACTGTTGTTTTTGTTGGTTGAGTTGAATTGATTTTTTTGTCTGAAAACTAGGAATAGAGTGTGACTGAGATTGTTGACTGAGCGATTGATTGACTGTTGGTTGGTTGGTTCGTTTGGTTCGTTTGGTTGTTTGTGAGTGGATTTTGGTTCTGTTCTAAAGCGGAATATGTGAATCATGAAAATGGAAACATAATTAAAACGATAACAACTGCTGAATAGGAAGGAAAATGGTGCGTGCCAATGAATACGTACAAAGGATAATGTCAAACGAAAATGAGGATAACAAAAGAGCATAAAAAATATATTTCAATTTAAAATTCAAAAAATATATTTCAACATTGAACTTAACATAGACATATGACTAGACTACTGATAACACAGAATAGGTACACACTTAATATTAGCATTGGAAACCGTGTATTATAATCCCGAATGGGCGGGATCATGTGTAAAAGCCCAGATCTTCGTAGCATTTTTTGGTTCCTTGATTTCAAATTAATTTTCCTTTTCATGGAACCAGGGAACTCCATTTTAGGATTCACATTTTAAAAAAAAAATTTTAGAATGTTAAAAAGAACAATTCCAAGTAATATGTATTTTTTAAAAATAATTTAAATTTATTTCATGTATTTAAGTATATTTTCAGTACTATTCTTTCTTTATGCAATGACCACTAATTAATTATTTTTAATGTCAAGACGTAGGCAACTATAATTCTTATATCCTGGAATCCTGTTAATCACCTTCAATGAAAATGATATCTTGTTTTTCTTTTTGTCTCCTGCTTATTTTTTTTATTCCACCTACAGCCTCTTAGTCCTTTTTTTAGCTTGTCTCAATTATTACTCTTACATTTTTGTTCTTTCACACATCTTTTATTTTCTACCCGCTTGTCAAATTATTGTCTTGAAATGTTTTAATCTCCACTTCACCTCTGCGCATTGTCAAGAGGCTGTGGAACGTTTGGCTGCATTGCATTAAGGTCGCATTACTGCGGCATTGAATGGGGCCTCTTAGACGCTTGGCAAGGCAACAATTTGTCACAGCTTCATTTCGCCAACCCTGAAAGTTATTTTTAACTCTGAAGGAATTCTGCGCTTGTTCTTTTTTTTTCGTTGAAATCTTCAACTAGAGGTCATATCGTGTGTGTCTGTATGTGAGTTTGTTAAGGTGGTGTCCTTGTGTGTTTTATTCATTTGTATGTCCTTGCACCGGATAATAATTCAAATACGAGGAAATGACGTGTAATAGGATTTATATGTACTGTTGTTACTGAGCAACATGGGGACAATAGTTTAGGGATTGATTGAAAAAATTGAATTAATGCTCCGTTTTTATAAAGAGAGGAATTTTTAAAATAAAAATTATGTTGGGTCGGCTAAATTGAAAAAAAATTGATATGTAATTTCGATATTTGAATACTATGCTTTATATAATGTCGTGTATATATTTGGCCGATTCGTAATCAAACAACTATATTTATGGCGTTTGGTGAAGGCTACATTATCCTTTAACAAGGGATAACTTCACTCGAATGGTGACTTCTCCAAGCCATGGACCTGCATTGTATACAAAAGAAAAATACTACTATAATGGTTCAGATATCAAAACATTAGATTGCAGTCTCTTCGGTTGCAAAATGTGGCTATGACTTTCGAAGTAGTTAAAACGAGTCCCGAGGACTCCTAATTAAAGAGTGGGAGACAAAATGGCCGAAGAAGAGTAAGAGTTTACTCTATGAGAGAAATCAAGTGAAATTTTTTTGGTTAATGATTTGCGTGTCTTCGTGCAAATGGGCTTTGATGTTGCTTTGGACTGGGGCAGGAACAGAATACTGCAAGGCTGGAGGTGGTTTTGTGAAAAAACAAAAGCAATGACAATTGATATTTGTTTTTGTGTCGTTAATGCAGCAGAATCTGCTCGATTTCGAGGGAATTTTATTCGTACTCAGCATACTCGCTCTTAATCGAATGACAGAAAAAAGTTAAAAAATATCAATCGGTTTTGCCGACAAATGTTCGATGATTTAAATATATTTTGACTTCTGTTATGATTATTCAAATTGTTGACTCTCTATGGAGTAGGTTCCTAAGGAATGGGCCAATATTGTCCATTTCGTATCGGACCTAAATAAATATGTCATATATATTACTTCGTGCCAGTATTGGACCATATAATTAATTTCCTTCACTTTATATGAGATATGTGATAATTTTTAGAAAATGTGCAGATAAAGTCGACCGAAGTTTTCCATTTTCATACAGAAAAAATATTGATTAAGGCAAAATTACAGAAGAATCGAACATATATATCCAATTTTATGCGAAATAATGAATTCCATATTGATCTCATGTTTCTGGATAAATATTGTAAAGAATCGCTGACTTGTTTCGCAAGATAAAAGCATTGAAAAGCCAGATGGGGTTCGCAGTTATATATCATCTTTACAACAGATTATGTGTTAGCGAAAATGTTTGTACGTGTGAAATTTGAAGAGAGTTGGATGCTTATTTCGCTTTCCTTGAGCGTTTTGTCTTTCTAAATCTTCAACCCAGAATAAATGGTCTGATCTCTACCATATTTATACAAGATTTTGTGTTGATGGAAATATTGAGATGTACCCAGCCTGAATGGGATCGGATGTTAATTTCGTGTTTTATGAGCTTCAAGGATATTTAAAATTTTGACCCTTTGTAAGGGAGGTACCAGAAGGAGTGGACCGATATATCCCATCTTCACAGCAGACGTTGAGTTAACCCTTTCAGTGTTTTTGTCAAATATATTTGACATTTAAAAGTACTCTCTTTCTTTGCCATTTTTGTTTTTCTTACGAACCGTTATTTTTGATATTTTTTAATAACAGACACGTTCGCTATTTAAAAATATTGCAGTTCTATTCTATTAGTTTCGTTTTCGAATTTCTGAGCACATTTTAGTAAATTAGTACGGAATTTCAGATTTTTATCTCGACAAAAATTTTCATTGACACTGAAAGGGTTAATAAAAATATTGTAGTGTGTGTAATTTGATATATTTGATATACCAGATGCTTATTTCGGTTGTTATGATCGTTTTTATTATTCAAAACTTAAACCCTTTGTGTGGGGTAGAGTGGATCGATATTGTGTATTTTCGCACCTGACCTAGCACTAATGCAAATATTAGGATTTGCAAAGGTGGAGCAAAATCGAATTATCATTTCTCTATATGTGCAGTAAATTATTTTCTTTGGAAATGTTCACATTTTATGGGGGAGGTATCAGAGGGAGTGGACCGATATGAACTAAAATATCGAGACAGTTTCCTATTTACAAACTGTGTACAAAAGTGTTCTAATGGTCGCCAATAATTTTCCATTAAAATGGATTTATGTCAAATGTCAATCAAACCTGTGATGAAAGAAAAACAACGTTCGAGCTAAAATATGCTCTTGGCTCTCGAACTGACAGATAACAAATTGTTCATAGAATTCAGTGCTTGGTTGGCTTATGACCTTTCAGCAGCAAAAAATCCCAAATATTATTTGAAATATGAAATATTCTCTTAATTTTTAAAATAAAACACATTTATAAGGGCTGTGATATTACAGCCCCCTTGAGTAATGCAATATAAAACCGAATTCCATTTGGAAGAAATTTAATACTTCATTTTCAAGAAATAAATTGAATTTTGGGTGTTTCCGTTATTCCGGTTCCGACAATACACAAATGATATAATTAAATGCAATTAAGAGAGTCACAGGCAAATAAAAAGCAACTTGAATTTACATTAAGCACACATCAATCTTTTAAAAGTTCCCTTTGGGATCAAGAGCAAATGCAAACAAATTACACAAATGTGCGAGTGAGTGAGTGTGTGTGTGTGTGTGAGTGAGTGCATGTATCGTCCCAAAGGAAGTTATAATTGGAAACTATAAAATATGCTACTAAAACTCTATCTTCCAGCCTTTCTTAATTGTCAGTTGTGAATCGATGGGGAGGCGGCCACAAGCGACTAGTGGTATAAAAGGCCTAATACCGCATCACAAGAGAAATTATGAAATTTAACATCTAATTAGTAATTTAAATACAAATCGTAATTGCTTTAGCGGCATCGCACACACAGACACACACACATGACTTGTATCTTAAACTGGCAATTAATAAAACGCCAGAGAGAAGAAAATAAATTTTACATTACAGCCAAATGAGTGCGTGTCTAATTGGGGGAGTTGTCGTTGTATCCAAATCGTTAAAAGAAAAAACAAAAACAAATGCATCCATTAATTAAGAAAATTTCAGCTTGCAACGAAAGCATAATTTTATTAGAATTAAATTGGAGAGAATTGAAATTTTGAAATTGTGTCGACGTTTTATTCCACATTACGCAGCAGCCTGAATTCTAATCAAACTTCCCCCTTATGAGATCCGCCAACGCAGGCATTGAAATAGGAAACATAAATGTTCATATGTGAGTATGTGTGTGTGTGTGTGAAAATGGTGTTAGATCTTGCACATTAGACGATGAGACAATAAACAAACACAAAATAGAATAGAATAGAATAAATGAATGTTGGCTAATGCAAGTGATCCATAAACAAAAACAAATATTTTATCTGATGGGGACAATGCATTTGAAACGGTCCATTCTTGAACTCAAGTGTGTCTCCCCCATCACCCCTAAAACACACCCGGCTGGGGCGTAACATTATTCACTGGTCATAAAGGTCGTCACTTAATGCCGCTAAAGATCCACACGAGAAACTCAACAAAAAAAAAATAGCTGGCATACGCTTTAATCTTAATTAAATTTAATTGAACAAACGAG